CCCCAAAACCCCAAAACCCCGCTTAATTGAATCACTCATGATTTATAGAATAATTGTAAAGTCTAAATTATAATTTAAGAAACCTTAACCAACTAATTCTTAATGGAACAAACTGCTAATTAACCAGCTAACTTCAAAGCATGTAGCATTTGTGGAAAAGATATAGAAGAACCTAAATATAGGATACATGAGGCCACTTGTGCTAGAAATAACTTTAAATGCTAGGATTGTGGAGAAATAGTACCTAAAGCAGATAAAGATCATCATATTACTGAGTTCCACACACAGGTAATTTATCACTGACCAATCTATATTTACTGATAAATTCTTTCTATAGACACCTTGTGAGTACTGCAAGACTTTTACTGCAGATAAGAAAAGCCTGGCAGGTCACTTAAATATGTGCAGTATGAGACCAAAGTAGTGCTTATATTGTGAGATGAATTTAGGTGGAGAAAAGTATCTAGAACATCTAAATTATTGTGGCAGTAAAACTAAGAGATGTGACTTATGCAAGTAGAATGTATAGAATAAAGACTTGACTGAACATGAAGATGGTTAATGCAAGTTTTATCAGGAGATTGAGAAGTAAAAAGTTCAAAGGGAACTTTTATAGTTTTAAGAAGAGCAGTAAAGAAAGGCTGCATAATAGAAAATAGAGTAACATAGATAGAATTAGTTAAACAAGGAAAAGGAATACGAGAGGAGATAATTAGAGCAGAGTGTGCCTTAACAATTCCAAAATAAAGTGATTTCCGAAAATATTGGAGGAGGAATACCTCAAGCCAGATCATAAGCAACATCTAGAATTCAAGGACCAGCAAATACAGGTGCTGGCATTGGAGGAGGAAATGATTAATTTGATGAAGATCAAGAAATGATTGCTCGACTTTTATAAGAGGAATTAGATGCTGAAGAAGCAGCTAAATTAGCAAATGAATAACATTCACCTGGCTAGTAACGTCATCAATAAAACATGGGTTATGATGAATATGGCAATGAAGCCTATGATAATGTTAGACCACCAACAGACATTTATGAAGATTAAATGATCGGAGGCCCTCAAAGTATGAATTTCCCTTAAAGTCGCGGTCAAACACACACTTATACAACTTACCATCCCAGTGGCTTTGGATAGACAACAACTACCACTTTTTCTAGCTCATTTAGTGTAGGTCCAAACGCCAATATAAATAGACCAGCAAACAGATTTGAGCCATTAGCAGAGGAACAAAATTATCATGAAGAAGACTCACATATGGCAAACGATTTTAACGATGATGAATAACTAAACAGAGCTATTGCTGAGAGTATGGGCATGAATGCATAAATGGGGGTTCATGGATAAGGTATAGGTATTGGAGGAGGCGGTGGCGCAGTCCAGCAAAATAATGTAGATGAAACAGAAGAAGAAATTCTTAGATAAATTTTAGAGCAAAGTAAAAATGAGATGTGAGTCTGTCAGAGGATGATCGAGTGATGTTATCATTTGTTAAATATAAGAATAAGCAGTTAACGCTATATTGTCTAGAAATCCTGAGATTATTTTGAGTTGAAAAGATGGTAATACTGCTTGGACGAATCTCAAAAGAATGTTTTTGTTTATAAATACTCCTTTCTTTAATAAATTTGCAAATCTCATCAATCATTAAACTATGGGGTTTTGGGGTTTTGGGGTTTTGGGG